TTCAGTCTTCCAGAACAGAAATATAGACCTAAACCCAGCAGAAGACCAAACAAGCATGTCAGTACAAAAGCCTAAATAGAAATAATAATTAGCACTGAAATATTAATGATAGTAGTGAGCATTTTAAACACTCTTTTCCTTAAAATATAATTTGACTTTGATACGGATTCTGTAAAATGGTGGTAATGACAGAAACACAGCAGTCTGTATGTGTCCACAAGTGGAGCAAATAGATGCAGTCTTGCTTTGATAACTTCAGTAACCTCAGCTTCGCCAGTAGTATTGGGGGGAACAGAATTGGTTGGAAAATTGCAGGGTTTAATTTGCAGAAAGATTTATTTTAGCGTATGTACATTTTTTTTCTGAAGTCAACTAGATTTTTACAAGAATCTTTTCATTGTTATTATTTAGATGTGGTAAAACTATATGGAATAGTTGTATTTGACTGTACAGTTGCTAGCTATAGTAATAGTGCTTTGAAATCTATGTTTCATTTAATTAAATTTACAAGTCTCCTTTTCAGGTATTTTTAATGTCTGTGTACAGATAACCTGAATGCTGTTTAAAATCCACGTGTCCCTGCTTTATGTAGATTTATGTTAATCAAGCTTTGTTTTAGAAATATGACAGTTTAAAGTGTCTTGGTAGATTGAAAATAAAACAATTATGCCAGAAGCCTTTTCTGGGAATTTCTTTTTCTAGTGGATTATAACTATATAAGGTAATGAAAGTATTTGTATAAATGAATTAGGCACCAAAACTTTCAGAAAAGCTGCTTTTCTGAGATTCAGAACTCTTTGTCTCTAAATCCTGTGAAGATCTTTATATTCCCACAAAAAGTTGGACATAATGTGGTTCCTGTCACAGGAGTGCTGACAGTCTGGATCCCGCTTGTGAGATAGTTTGGCGCTCTGAAAGCTGCCGCTACGTCTTCATTCTGTGAGAGGAGAGGATTGCTGTCACTTGACTCTGGGAACTGTTCTACAGAAGTGCCTCAAAATTGTCAGCTAAATCACAGTACTGAAAAGCTGAGACCACTTAAAATGCTGTAAATTATATGTGTATAAATAGAGGAACAGAGCCAGGGTTTGTGGCATGTTTGGAGATCATCACTTAACTGCAGAAGATGAAGAGCATCCTTGTAGCAATCAAAGTGGTTGTGGCTTCTAAACAGTTTAGCTGGTACTTGGAGCCCTGTTGAATTTACTGAAAAGAGGAAAGTCATGAGACTCTTGAAAATAACTTTCTACCTCAGCTGTGGTTAGGGCAAGGCTGCAGGGCACTCTTGCTGTAGCAGCTGGATCGTGGTAGTGAAGTACAGCTTTTGGAGGTTGAGTGATGCAAGAAGAAGGCAGGAGAGGAACTGCTGCCTAGGGTGTTTATCACCCGCTGTGAGCCAGCATGCAGAGAGCTTTGACTCGGTTTGAATGAGGAGCTGGTTCAGAGCTTATGGGTCAGGATTAACAGGACCACCAATGTGGGAGACACTGTGGTAGATACCTGCTACAGATGACCTGATCAGGAAGAAAAGGCTGCCTTCAGACAACTGGAAGAAGCCTCGCATTTGTAGACCCTTATCTTCATGGTGGGGCTTCAACCACATCAATATCTGCTGGAGGGACAGCACAGGAGAGCACAAACAATTCGGGAAGATTCTGGAATACATTCATGGTAACTTCCTGACACAAGTGGTTGAGGACAGAAGAGGGGATATGCTGTGCTAGACCTCAAGCTTACAAACAAGGAAGAACTGGTTGGAGATGTGAAGGCTGGGGGGAAGCCTTGGCTACAGTGACCATGACATGGTGGAGTTGAGGGTCCTGAGAGGAGAAGCAAGACAAAAAGTGGGATCACAGCCCTGGACTTCAAGAGAGACAACTCTGGCCTGTTCAGGCCAAAATCTGCTTGGAAGAATCCCATGGCATGGGATACAGTCTGGGAATGAAGAGGGGTATAGGAGAGCTGGTCTAGGAGAGCTCAAGATTGATCGGTCTTCACTTGCAGGAATTTACATTGTGATAAATCTTCATATTAAAATTGCCAGGGAGGAAAAGTTTTCTTGATTACGCTTTGAATATGCAGCAGCCAGAATCTATTTAGGAGGTGAGAACTCATCCTTGTGCAGCTGTGGCTTTCAAACTTCTTTATTCAGCAATTCCTCATGCTTGGTGACTACCATCAGACACCATACTTGCTATTGAGAGGGCTCGATGCTGCTCCCTGTGACAGCATCTCCAGATGCTTTTACAGAAGGTGGCTTGCTTGTTGCTGAATGGTTGTTAGTCTTTGACCTCCTCCATGCCCCTTTAAATCTTTTGCTTTCATCTTTTACTGCCATGCTTGTATAGGACAAGACCACTTATTTTAGGACCATACCACTGTTGCAGTGCTTTACTTCAGGCCATGCTTTGTTTCTTTCACCTCCCAGTGCTAAGAAATCCATCGTGTTGGCAGCGATTCCTATTGCTAGTGTAAGGAGAAGGTATTTTGCAAGATTGTGTCTTGGGGAGTGTTTCCTAGAAGGTGGTACAGGTGAGTTGCTACTTTGGCATATCAGAGAACGGAGAGGAAGAATCTGGGTAGATGCCAGCATTTAAATATAGGTAGATGAAGTTGTGCGTTTAGATGAGCATGGATGTGTGTGGGAGCACAGATGGTGGATAGCATGGTGGAAAAGCCTGTACAAAACACAGAGCCACTGTGTTTAAAGAGATAAAACTCCCTAGCTTTCTCCGTACTGGCATTCAAGGGGTTGTGTCATATGAGTGTAGCTTTTTAATTAGGGACAACTAGACCTCAATTGCCTTGTTTGGCTATCAGTGTTGTCTGCTGTGGAGAGAGTGTAGTACGTGTTTATCTTTGTGTAGTTCGTTAAGAGTTCATAGGTTGGTCAAGTAGCTGTTATGTGTTCTGTGAACATGTGTTTAAATAGTGTAATGGCTGTTACCTTTAAGCCTTTAATTCAATACAACTCTTCCAGAAGGTGGGTTTTAGAAATTAACAACTATAATGTTCAGATCAGGCTGTTAAAAAAGATATCCAATAAAGTTTAAATTGGAAGTAAGATTAGTAGCAACGTTGTTCAGGTGCTCAGGATTCGGGATAAAGGTGTACTGTTCACTGTTCTCTACAAAAAGGGCACAGAAATATACAGTGTCACTTAAAATGCATAGAGGTGTGTGGTAACCTTTTTGCACTGATTCTTTGGGAAAGACTGTGGTAGCTTTAAAACCGTATCTTATCTGCTCACTGTTTGATCTTCTCTTTCTCAGGGTAAACAGAATAGCTTCAGACCTCTCCGGGCTCTATAACTGACAGCAAGCGAGGTTCCTGTTTAATGGATTGTTTAGAGCTTAATTTTCCCCCTGTTCTTCAGGGAATTGGTGTCTCTGAGAAAATAATTGCATGCTTGATGAGGACAGAAACTTTATTGCAGTGATCCAACAACCTGAATACAATTGTGACACTATATGAGAAACTTCCAAGCAAATGGCCCATTCAGAAACCTTACGTAACCGTGGCAGGTTTGAGTTTCCAGCAGATTTGAGTCTGCCTTTTTGATTATCATCTGATGTGAGAGAAGGCTTAGAGTTTCAAGTTCACAATAAACCTATTCAGAGCAACTCTTTTATTAGCTTGAACAGTATCTGCAGAGTTCTCTTCATCTTTGGCTTTACTAAAAGAAACTATTTAAACTTAACCAACAAGCAGGGATCCTGGAATTATAAGCAGAGTATCATTTTGTTTTGATAAGGCCGTCTATTACTTTGGGCTCTATCTGGAGTTCTTAAATCACCCTGTTTATCTCTTCCGTATCATGGAACTTCTAGTACTGTTCCATGCAACTTGCTTATTTTTTAAGACTTCAAATTACTTTTAACCCATTTACTGGGTTAAAAACTCTGGCCCTGGGAATCCCTGCCACAGAATCTGTCTGAAGCTGCAGGTATTAAATGTAAATTTTGGATTATTAAACGTATAGCCTTTTTCCCTGTCCTCGTGTGCAGTTCAGCATAACAGGAAGGACAGAATGAGGTACTGACAAGTGGGAGAAAGTTGGAGTTGGAAAAGAGCGGGCGTTTTCTGTGTGTTTTAAGGCAAAAGCTGAGGTTTCGCAAGTTTGGGATCCTGTTTGGATTTTTTTTAAACCCTTCCAAAAAATCCAGAAAAGAAGCTGACTTTGTCCCTCTGTCTTCTTCTCGTAGACTGAAGTCTTTCCTGTTGATTGTGGGATCCACTGTAGCCATTCTCCCATGTCCTTGTTGCGTCGAGTCTGGTGGACTACTTCATGCTCTCCTTCAGGCAACTCCTGGGGATAATTTTGAAATTCCTTGTGACTGTAGATTGTGGCTCTTGGCTCATACATGTAAAATTTCACACAATACTGCAGAGCTGAACATGCTTACTAGCATAGTTCTGATAGCATACATTCTACTTCAGAAATCTTTCTTAGAGTTGACATGAATGGAGATATTTAATCTTTTTAAGTGTGAGAGTCACTGAGAGATGTTTCAGTGCAGCTTCCAGAACTGTAGCTTGGAATCTTCTGCCATAGTTCCAGAGATTGTAAGTGTCTTCTTTTGGGGTACACCTTTTCATTTCCATCCTGTCTGAGAGAGAATGCTGAGTTCTTTTGTGTGAGATTTTCTGGAAAAAAAAAAAAAAATGGAGACCCGGTTTTGTTTCTCCGTACTGTGTTATCTCTGTGCGTGTGTAAAAGTCTGTATTTTAGACAAAGCAGAATCATTTGTTGTGTGTTAAATCTCCTGTGGTGTTTGGTGGTTCATCTTGTGCTATAGAGAAACTTTTCCTCTTTCCATTTCTTTATATGTGGGAAGGTATTTTTGTGTTAATGGCTCACTGGTATATCTAGGCTGACTAAAATAAATGGGTTTTGCCGAGTTCCTAGTTGTCAAGGTAGGATCAGTGAAGTCTGAAATATATGGATAAATACTATTGAACTGGAGGGCTTCTAATACTGATTTTTGTTTTTATTCCAGGAATGTACTCCAGAGAACCTGGAACTGAAAAAGAAGATTTTCCGTCAGTTAGATCTCATTGTTGGTGACAATGTTATCTTGAGCAGCTCGACTTCTTGTCTCTTACCCAGCAAATTGTTCACTGGCCTTAAGCATGTTAAGCAGTGTATTGTGTCACATCCTGTAAGTATGATGGCATGTTTTGTTTTTGTAGTAGTAGTAGTAGTACAGGTGTTTAACTAAACTGCATCCTAAACTTTTCCCTGCAGACTGAAAGATAGAGAAGGATATTTGGAATGCTTGTGTGCCATTGTTAGTGTGCACGGGCCTGACTTTTCAGAAAAAATTTAGTTTGGTCAATCTGTGAGCAGTATCATTTACTAATTTGAGAGGATGTAGGCATGTTTCATACTGTTGGCTCAAGATAAGCTGTGTAAGCTGTTGTGCTGATACTGTTGTGTGTTACTCAAACTACTGGCTCTCAAAAAATGTAGGAATTCTGTGTTTCGAAGATAAACCTATAAAATTCCCTACTTCCTTGTTGTGGCATCATTAGTCTTTTCTAGTATCCTTTTTCAGCTGCTGTTGGGTAACAGTAAGGATCCAAACAGTAAGCTGCATCTGCTTGTCAGGTAATGTTGATTAAAGGTAGAAGGTTTTGACTTTGGTTCCTTCAGTTTTGACACAGAACCATTATACCCCAAGAGGAAAAGCAGGTGGATGAAATGGGACAAATTGTACTTGGAGCTGAATTTGCATGCTTTGTGACCAGCTGGGACAGGCATGCCAGAAATGGCATGTCTAGAGGTGGCAGCAGAACCTCAAAATGCTCAAGGAAACCTGTGAGCCTCTGTAGAGGTCTATGTGGGGCTGCCAGGCAGCAGTCTATCACATCTTTCCTCAGTATGGAAGAGCATTTTGTCTTGATCACTGGGATTCTTACTGGTTCTGTTTTCCACTTCTCCATAGCATGTTTGCTTAATGTTAATCTGGTTTTTGACAGATCAGTTAAGAGGACTGTTGTTATGAAGGTTTGCAGTATCTGGAGAACAGTACTGCTCTGCTGTCTTCAATCTGATAACTACACGTTGTCTCTCTGGAGCATCCCTCAGGGTGCAGAGTAAATGTCGTTTCCTTGGGCATGCTCGAGAGTGGCAGTGTGAACACAAAAATACAGCACTATTTTACTGTAATGTCTCAGCAGCTACCTGTAGCCTAATGCTGCATTGTCAAAGCATTTGGTCAGTCCCTTTTTGACACCCCTCCAGTACCATCATTGTGCCTTGGAGTGATTGGGAAGCAAAAGGAACAAAAAGATTGGTTTCTTTCTTTATAATTAGTTTTCATCCCCTTTTAATTAGAGAAAAAAAAAAAAAAAGTCCAACTTCAAAGTACGTGTCTGTGCCTAGGTTTAGCATTTCTCAGTCTAAAATTCAGTATTCAGTTCCTTATCTCCTATTTCCAGGGTTGAAACCTTCTGTAGTGCAAGAGACGATACAATGCCTCTTCTAGGCTTCTGCATTAAGTAACTATAGCAATAATGGGTTTTTTACCAATTCTTGGGCTTCTGCCTATTGTCTGACTGTTTGTCAGTCTTTATGTTACTCTTACTGTTTTCCCAAGTTGGTCTGTACCAGTTGACTTGTTTAGTCTGAGCTGCAGTCTTTGTAGGAGCCACTTCTGAAACCAGGTTTTATCAGATCTGGAAAGGTAGCTAAGTCCCTGCGTAAACCTTTTCTGGGTTGATGTTGTAAGGATATATGTATTTTCCAAAGCAAATACACTGGAGTGCCTTAAAAAGTCTAATTGTTCTGAAATGGCTCTGCAATCCAGCTGAGACTATTTTCTTAGTAATCTCAGCTTCACTCAAAGGGAAGCGTACTGGAGAAGCTTTGAGCCAATGTAGTCTTCCAGGGGCCTTTCTGCATCTGTTATATCAGGAAACATGCTTGCTTTCTTGGCTTTTGGTGGTTTTTGTTTTAACCATGGTCTTACTAATGTCTTGAACACAACAGTAGAACATGGGGAATGGTGGCTGCAAGAATCAAGCAGCTCTGGAAGATACTGTGAAAACAAAAAGTTCTGATATACCAAAAAAATTAAAAGCTAAAGTTGTAAAGCCTCTGGCACAGGTGAGCGTGTTGAGGAGAAATGAAATGAAATGCCCAAAGGGCAGAAGGAGCTCATCTTTTTGCTTAACATAGCAATAGTTTCAGTAATTAGAAAAAATAAGTGAAATCCCATAGCACAGCTGTATGATAAAAATGCACGCAATTTGTGTAGGTACAGCTGTTCTCTGCAAGCAGTTTCAGACAGTGTATCAGTGGAGGTCTTCTGCAGAGCAGTTCATTTCTTATGTACTATATACACATGCTAGGTCAAATATTGAGGTAGAGGAGACTGTGTGCCATTGAGTGAAGTTCCTTGCTTTACAGGGAACCATGTAATCAAATCAACTTAAAAATGTATTAACCTATATCTGTTAGATTTTTTTTTTTTAAGTCCACTACTCCTGTTGGAAGTTGTTTGTGTCTTCTAATCTTTGTTCCAATCTTATTAGCAGTCCATTGAAATTAATTTGATATGTGTTGGCAGCATTTGTGTAGCTTAATTCTTTCTCTCTGTTTACTTTGTCATATCCTTTCTTGGCTTTTATTTTGTTAGGGTGAGTGAGGTAAACTCTTCTGCTCCCTGAAGAAAGGCTTTGCATTCACCTTCTCATTTTCAGAAACCTTCCCCCACCCCCAATTTCATCTATGTTTTACAACTTTTAGTTTTTACCAACATCTATTATCTCACTCCTAAAAAATTGTCTTCCTAAGTCTCCTCAATGTGCTCATGAACACACCCGTATACTCCCCCTGCCAAGTTCATGAAATAGAATATTTCAATAAGATGACTGTCGACTCTAATCTTGGAAGAAGTTTATAATAGCCTCAGTCTCTCTCAACAATTAACTTGTCCTCTTCCTGATTGGAACCTGGGATATACTTAAGGGTTAGAAAAGCCTTCAGAGAACTTCTTGGTGCTTGCAGCGGTTTTGGGTCTTGCTAAATTGCCTGGCACCACACCTGCGATGGTGCCCATCACGCAGTTCTCAGCGTTGGTAGTGGCGTTGCCAAAGAGACTTATGTGAGAAAGGTTATGTGGGAACACAGCACACTTTAAAGGGAATGAAGTAAGTGTGTTACATCAGTAGTCAGAGCAGACTTAGCCTACAACAGGTTATGTATTGGTCAGACCCTACAGTAGAAGAAACCACGTAAGTAATGAAAAGAAAGAACATACAGAGAGGAAAGACTGCTCATGCATTGCTGTGACTAAATCCTGTACTTGCATTTGCATGAGCATAGTTAGAGCAGTTGAGTAAAAGGGAGGATGGTGAAAGAATCAGTACGTAATTACCATCCTTTAAATGTCAATTTTATTTCTGGTAGTAATTTATGATATGTTAGCTCCTTCTATTGCCTGGAAACTAGACCAAGAGCTGAATTTAGCACCTTAAGAATGTGCCTGACAGACTGCTGCTTTTGGAGAGAGTATGCAGGTAGTGTTACTGCCTGTAACACTATGACCTGAAGAACTTTTGGCTGTTTCTAGGATGTTCTTTAGAATTTTTTGTTTATTACTTCAAAAATACATTACACAAAGGTCTTGACTTCATGAGAAATTACATTTGGGAAGAGTCAGGGAGAGGGAAATTTTTTTTAAGTCGGTACAGTGTTTGAAGGTAACCTGTTCTGCAACTTTTTCGAAGTATGTTTTATGTGATACTTGTTACTGTGTTTAGCATATATTTACAGGCTTGGGCCAGTAGCAGCTTATCTATTAAGTGTTGCATCTTACAGGTGGTGTTTAGCAATAATTTTCTTATAAAGTTCTTGAATATGTGAAAGGAAGTGCCTGCCTTCATTTGGAAAGACGGGTGGTGGCCATATGTCTTAGATCAACAAACAGCCTTGAATATTAAAAAAAATGTCAGTTACTCAAGTCAGTATAAAGTCTTCTAGTACTGTTAGAGTGCCGTCATCTTTAGTGTAGCTCCATGAACTTTGCTGGGGTTGAACAGAGATTTAATGCAAGATTAATTATTTTTTTAATTTGAATTAATACACCAGCTTTTATTGGATTGGTGAAGTCTTTCAGAGTCTGAAGATCAAGCTTACTGCGTTCACTGGAAAATATCCATGCTAGTAGCAATCTATAAAGATGCTTTATATTGACTTGTTCTGTTAATCTGTTGATAGTTGACATTCTTCTTTTTGTGTTTCTTCTTGAGGTAAATCCACCTTACTTTGTGCCGTTGGTTGAAATTGTTCCTCATCCAGAAACAGATCCTTCTACTACAGAGAGAACATATGCCCTGATGAAGAAGATTGGTCAATCTCCTGTCAAACTAAACAGAGAAATTGAGGGGTTTGTTCTGAATCGGCTCCAGTATGCAGTGATAAGTGAAGCCTGGAGACTTGTGGGTGTATGTATATTTATTTTTTTTCCAATTTCTACACACATACACTGGTGGCTTTGTAGATCCGACAAGTGAGATTGTATATTCAAATTTCCTATAAATTTGTGTTGTCTTTTTTAAATTGTGAATATGAAATATATACTAACATGTAAATTAAAAAGAGTAAGAAGTGATGTCAGTTATAAATGGCAAAGACTCAGAAAAACAAAATGATATGATCATAACCGCTACCCTTTATCCTCCTTTCTTTTCAGAATATTGTCATTTTCAGGACAACCAAAAGAACAATCTTAAAAGCACAGAAATCTACATACTATATTTCTTTTTTCTTGTAGTCTCATCATTTCCTGTTATTTTCTGAATGTTGCTGGCCTACTGTACAGTGGTTATGAAAATAATATTTTAAATAGTTTTCTTTTTGGCCTTTCAGGAATCGTACGCATAGGTTCAACAGTTATTTGATACTTGTAGTTAAAGACAGATTTCTCCTCCTTCTGCCCATTCAGACTTCCAGCTGAGAATCATTTGTTTGTACCCCTTCAGCTTTTCCCACAGTTACCTGTTTTGTGCTGCAAAGTCTGATCTTTCATCAGAAAGAGCTGAATTATGAGTCTGTTGCTATTCTGTTGAGAAGAGATTCAGTTGGACTTGAGTAGGACTTACTTTTTTGTCACGGAGAATGTTTTGATTTTTCAAGCTGTTTAAAACACACAAATATAGGTAAAAATCTTAAAACTAAGGTAATACTAACATATTGTAAACAAAGCAACGCTTTTTCCAAAGCAGTGTCTAAATATAGTTGCTGAACTGATTTTGCTTACCTCTAGTTAGCTTCCATGAGCAAGACAATACAACAATATAAAGGAGGTGGCGAATAATAGTAAATAAAACGGTACTGCTAGGAACGATCTGACCTACTGGAGATTTTTCTTTAAACTAAAGAAGTATCTGTTATTAAAAAAGTTAATACAAATTCTTAAGTATATGATAAGAAAAAACCCTTCAGAAAGTTGAAATCATGTTGAAAGACACAGGATATAAAGGATAGTAACCTCAAAATTGTTTTGTAAACCCTAATAATCCCAGATGAAAAAAAGATTTTGAGAATAACAATATAAAAGTTACTGCTAAAAGTGTGAATAAGGAAGTTGAGTTCACTGGAAAAATCTAACTGAACTGCAGTGTTCATTGTTAAGGAGGTTCCCACACTGTAACCTTTTCTTGAAAGGAAGGGATCTGATGCAGAAGTAGAACAAGTCATGTTAAGAACAAGAGTTTTGGAGCAGGAAAGAGTAAATGAGTAATGGCAGACTATGACGGAGAAATGGAATTTATCTGAGAATCCCGAAACTCAAACATGAAGTTGATGAAATACTGATTTAAGCTCCTTTTTACAGAACAAGTAGCGTAATACCGCAGAAATGGAAGTTAGCACTTATATCTGAGCTCTTTTAAAAGAGTTCAAAGCATTGTTGGGAGACTGTGGACAAGTAAGTCTGATAATGTGTAGGCATTGTGATACAATACCCTTGGTCAGCACGGGTATCCAGGGAAGTAATGCCTCAAAAATATAGTAGGATTCTTTCATGTCTCTGAGAGGCATAAACTGAACTGTGGAAGTTACTGCTATAGAAACGTAGGATGCTAAAAATATGTGTGGGTTCAGGGAACATTTAGACACACTCATGTTAGAGGAAAACCATGTAGAAGTAACCTCCAGCTGTCGAAGTCTCAAAGACTGGACTGCTGGGACCTGAGACAGTGCCTATCATTGAAAGTATCACTCTGTATTTGGTCTTTGGTTATGGAAAGAGTATAAGAACACTTCATGGGCTACTACTGGAAAAGATGTATTGATTTGAGGTCAACCTTTAGTATGAACCTATACGAATGCTTTTGGTGTGTGTGGTGGTACATGAAGAGTAACAAAATAGTGCTTGAAGCACTAACAGATAATTAAAGTTGCTTCTGTTGTGCATCATCAAAGTTTCCAAGTTGTTCCAGTTTTATATAATGTTATCCCCTTTCAGGCAAAGACACATTTAAACTGTAACAACTTTCATGGCTATATTTCCATTCCAAAAGCCTGGACAAAATAGAGCTATCAAAGGTGTATAGTTTCATCTGTGTGACTTCAGGCTACACGCTGCCTTTGATGGGAGGAGAATCACTGCAGATAGGTGAGAGCTGCAGGCCTGGGGCAGTTTCTGTGTTTCTACTGTTGTGCTGCCAACTTAGTCGTCTTTATTGCAGGTCATGTTCTTTTGGCGTTTCCACTTTCAAGTGGGAAAAATACTTCTTGCTTCTCATTGTTAAGTCACTTTTCAGTCCTTATGGCTGAAAATGTCAGCCTCCTCAACTCTCAGTCTTTGAGAGGCTCCTAAAAATCAAGTTTTACTGACATTGATGCCTTCTGGTAACAAATATTTTCCTTACCCTAAGAAGCACTGGGGGTGGAAGATAAACTACAAATATTAGCAGGAGGGACATAATAATAAAGCATTCTTGTCCAAAATTACTACCCTATTAATACTTTTGTGGTTAGATATGTAAATTGTATGTATTGGATGAGGCAATGCAAATCAGCTTGGATACAGAACATAGACATGAAATTACTTACAAACACTGTCATATTTTGATGCTAATAATTGTGTATTGCTTTTGACTATTGTGAAATAACAATGAGACAGAACCATAAAACATAATTTCAAACTTGCTTGTTTTATTAGTGGTTGTAAAGGTCTGAACAAGTATCTTTCTATGCCTACAGTTACATGTCAAGTTTTATTTAATTTCAACATGGTGAGTGCTTGAGAAAAATATGCGTTGTTGCTGGAGGACTGTTTTATTTGCACTGCAGTGTATCAGTTCTTTGCCACACAACAAGGACATAAGTATTTCATGTATAAATGCTATGTGTGAACCAGGAGAGAAACACAGCAGCAGTCTTGAAATGTTTTGAAGCAACTTGAAATTATCTTAAATCAGCCCCTTTATGTAAACAACTATCTGGGTTATTTTTGAGGACTTCGCTGAGATGCAGGCTTCAAAGTTCTCATCTGAGTCCTCACCTCAGAAATATTTACGGTAATGGCAGGGGAGTGATCTTACACGTGTGCACATATACTTTTATCAAAGTCCAAATTTAGATACCTTGGCGTGGACCAAAAAAGTCTGTCTTTGTTTGTTTTGTTTTTTGGGGTAGGGTGGTTTTTTTTTTCCAATCAGTTGAGCTTATTTCATTCAAGAAACTAGTGGAAACTTCTCCAGTAGAAATATTTATATGCTGTTAAAAAAGGCATTGGTGGTAGGACAGACATGCAGGTACAGCTGTACTAACAACATCTGTCTGGAAAACTTTATCACAAATGGACTGAGCAGCTTGCAGGATACGTTTTAGTTCCCAAATGTAGCTCGGCACCTGGCGACCTGCCAGTCTCTATCTTTTCTTTAGCAGTGCTGTGTTGGCATGTGTGATGGATGAGGCACGGGACAGGGATCATACGATAGAAGAAGGGCTCTGATACAGAGTGTGAACATGGGACTGTATAGAAAGCAATGTGGTAAATATAGCTACTTGCTGGATGATGTGTGGGGCTCACCAACTTCTGCCTTGTGGGTCCAAGAGCAGGAGAGGCCATACATATGGCCTATAACACAGCTAGAAATCTGAGATAAGGCCCTGCCAGCAGGTTTGCTTCAGGCTCGGACTCCACGTGGTGTTCAAATTGCATGCGGGCATGGATGCTGGAGCAGAGAGAGAAGCATAATTCAAGGCAAAGGCCAAATGTGGGAGTGGGAAGTTAAGGTGGTGAAAAATGGGGAGGCCTGAAGGCTGAGATCGCAGATTATAGAAAAGTGGCAGAATGAAAACTCATTTGGAGACATACAGTTGGGTGCTGAGAACTTTGGCCATGTGGACAATTAGGAATGTGGATTTAAGGATGCAGAAGTTTGACTTTACAAGAACTTAGAAGCAAAGACCATAGATTTAGTTAAGGACCTAAAAGAAGGAATTCAAGCAAGTGCTCCCCTTTGAGGCAAGAGTGCTACAATAAGATTTCATTTTGGATCTCAGTTAGTCTTTTGTGTGACAAGATTTCTTTTTGAATGTTGTTTTCAGTTGCAAGTCATGAGCACATGGGCAGTGCAGGTTTTTGTGGCAGGAACTTTTTGCATCAATTATCTCTGTCTCCCCATACTCTACATTTAATCCATGAAAAAGATACTGGGAACACTCCAGTCTGTCTCATTAAGGTCAGGTATCTGAGAACTTTCCATAGGACCACATAGCCTATCTGTGAACTTTCTGTAGGACCGCATAGTGTGTATGAGACTGATGTTCCTGTAGGTTTCTTATTTATGTTTTTAATTCTTAAGTCTCTGGTAGAAGTGTTGCAAAGCTGGTTATGATGTAAGTAAAAGATGTACTGTGAGATGTTGAGGGTGAAGACCCTTATTCCTCCCTTCTCAACCCTAAATTTTGATGTTACGAGTTTGGAATCATTAGAATAACCTGTAGCCAGTAACAGGAACAATATCCGAAACAGCTTTCTCTGTTATTCCCTGTTACCATTTATTTACTTTGTCATGCCTCCATTGACAGTGGTCACTGGTATATCTGATTTTGTTCATAACTCTTTGGAGCAGAGACTTACTGCCTTTATTTGTCTGGGAAACACCCTGTGCACTGCTGACACTGCTACTTTTATACTGTTACCGGTACCAATACATTCTATAGTAGCTTGGAATTACGTTGCAAAAGCTTGTTAATTAAATAACTTGACTTTGTCTTGTTCTGAAGGTAAAGTTTTGGTTGACTTCATCCAGAAAATAACAACCAAACAGTTTCACTAGTGCTGTAGATCAGAAATCTCAAACCTTACGCTGAATATCTAGGACTGTCCTTTTGCTGTGGATTACTGAGTGGAAGCTTATCTTGGTGAAATATTTTTCTGAGCATCACCTGGAATTTGGAAGGAGGTCATGAAATACAGCAGCAGAGC